GCATTCCAAAACTGGCATAACCTGTCCCAAACATATTCTCAATCTCAACACCACTGTACCCATTTCCCCTCTGCCTCTCACCTACCGTAGTGCTCTCAAAGATCCCAATTGGCACAATGCTATGTGTGAAGAATTTAATGCATTGATTAATAACGATACATGGGAATTAGTACCCCCTCCCCCCACCAAAATATCATAACTGGAAAATGGCTTTTTAGGCACAAACTTGGCCGTACAGGTGAGTTAACCAGGTACAAAGCCCGATGGGTTGTTCGTGGCTTCAACCTGAGATTCGGAGTCGACTATGATGAGACATTTAGCCCTGTGATCAAGCCAGCTACTATACGCATCATTCTCAGCCTTGCTCTCTCTCGAGGATGGCCGATCCATCAGTTGGACGTCAAAAATGCCTTTCTCCATGGCCATCTGTAGGAAGTAGTCTACGCCTCTCAGCCATCAGGATTCCAGGATCCCCACAGGCCCAACCATGTATGCAGGCTGAAGAAGGCTCTCTATGGCTTGAAACAGGCTCCCCGTTCGTGGTACCAATGATTTGTTGGGTTCATCTCCACGCTGGGGTTTCGAGGATGTAAGTCGGACACCTCTCTCTTCATCTACTCTCATGGGACAGACACTGCCTACCTACTCCTTTATGTGGATGACATCGTCCTCACAGCTTCCTCTGACTCACTCCTTAAGCACCTGACTGACCGACTTAAGGGGGAATTTGCTATGGCTAACATGGGCGACCTTCATTTTTTCTTGGGCATCAATGTTCATCGAACAGCTCGTGGTCTATTTTTACATCAGAAACAGTTCACGCACGACATCCTAGAGCGTGCCGGCATGACCACTTGTCGTCCCATCTCCACTCCAGCCGATACGAAGGCCAAACTGTCTGGCACATCAGGCTCGCTGGCGGCCAACCCATCTCTCTATCGCTCCATAGTTGGAGCACTCCAATATCTCACATTCACCAGGCCAGACATCTCCTACTCTGTTCAGTAGCTTTGTCTCCATCTACACGCCCCCCGAGATGCCCACGTCACGGCCATGAAGCGTGTCCTACGCTATCTCCGTGGCACCTCCACTTACGGTATGACTCTGTTTCCCTCTGGCACAGATTCTCTCCAGGCCTATTCTGATGCTGATTGGGCTGGGTGCCCTAATACTAGACGATCCACATCAGGCTACTGTGTATTCCTTGGGGACAATCTCATCTCTTGGTCCTCCAAACGCCAGGCTACCATTTCCCGATCTAGTGCTGAAGCTGAATACCGAGCCGTTGCGAATGCCGTTGCCGAAACCAGCTGGATCCGAAATCTCCTCCTAGAGGTACAACAGCCCCTACTCCGCGCCACACTCATCTTCTGCGACAACGTCAGTGCTGTTTACCTCTCCACCAATCCGGTCCAGCATCAGCGCACCAAGCATATTGAAGTTGACATTCACTTTGTTCGTGACAAGGTAGCCCTCGGCCAGATTAGAGTCCTTTATGTGCCATCATCGTCACAGTACGCCGACATATTCACGAAAGGCCTCCCGTCCATATTATTTCAAGATTTTCGGACAAGCCTCGGGATTCGCTCACCTCCGACGCCGACGTAGCCGGGAGCATGTTAAATATATTCTATATTTATGTTAAATATATATTCTATATTAATTGTACAAATATTGTTTCCTACTGTAGATACCTGCCATGATTAGGATTAGGGAAAGGTTGTATATATAAACCCATGTACTATCACTTTATTGTTTAAGGAAAATCACAATTCTTTAGTGTTGAAACAATTTGCACCATGTAGAGGATTTCGGGATCAATATTACCCCTTCCTCTAGCGATTGTTAATACACATTATGACTTCCCTTTTGATCTTGCTCATCAAAATATATTTTTATTATTAATTTTCCAATAAAATTTTCTTATATCAAATTAAAAAGATATTTATTATCATCTATTTTTTTAGAATAAAATGTCTCCGTGTCCCTGTTGAAGAAGCATCTGTCTGTTTCGTGGATTTATTTATTTTAATTATTGTCATGTGTTTCTTTTTTTCACTCTAACATTTTGTTCTTATTTGCTCTTCCTTCATTCTTCTTATATGGTATCTTGTTCACACGATTTGTACCATGTAGAAGAACTCATCGTTATCTTTATATATAAAATTTAAGAATTGGCTTACAGAATTGTGACATGTGTCACACTTACTGGACAATTTTGTTTACATGTCAACAGTCATGTCAGCCAGATAGCATTTACCAGAACTTTCCGTATTGTATTCTTTGAGATTTGCATCAATTTTGAGTTCGTAATTTAAGAAACAAACGTTAAATTCATGTTAAAAATAAAAAGAAATATGTTGCTAAAAATTATTTGAAAGAGATAAATAAATGATATTCAAATACTGTTTTCTTAAAAAAATATTTTTATAAATTGTGTGAAGCATAAATAAAAAGACACCCCCCTATCAAAAGGAAAAAAAGTCAATAGTTTGTGATGATTAAAAAAGCATAGGAGGGAAGTGGAAACAAATAAAAATATTTTGATAAAAGTTTCTCCCCCTTAGTAAAATGAATTTTAAAAAAATTTTTAGAAAATTTTTTTCGAGAGGAAGACATACAGTCAAATGAGGCAAAAATAAAATCATCCATTATGAAAGAAAGAGAAAATAAAAAAAATATTTGTCTCTTTCAAGACAATTATGATTTCTTAGCAGGATGATGGAAGGAAGGTTAATTTTTCTCTCGGTAAGGAGGTGGTAAATTAAAGGAGAGTGGATTCAAAAGATCCAAGAAGGACTTGCGGACCTCTCGGATCGAGTGAAGAAGATGGAAGATAGGGAGAACCGCCAAAAGAAGAACCAAGATTGACTTTCTAGTTGTTGATTGTGTTTGAGCTATGGCATGTGATCAAACATCGTTTTAAAACATTTCATGGTTGTTTTTCAAAACTCTTATGAACTTATGTATGCTTATGTTACTTGTGGTTGGATTGACTTGTTGTTTGACATGCAATAATGGTTTGGAATTCCTATATTATTTGATGTGTTGAATGCCTACTTGCACAATGTTATTCTTTCCCCACTTTTTTGAATGTTGCCAAAAGGAGGAGAAGTTTTAGGCTTTAACATGCATGTATTTAGGGAGGTTTTTGTACAAAACCTAAGTGCATAAACTTAGTGGGAGTTTTTCAAGTTCAAATATGCTTTCAAGTTATGTTTGTGCATTTGTTTATAATATTTGAAAACCTTATTTGTCAACATCAAAAAAAGGGAGATTGTTGGCCTTGAATGCCAAACCTCTATACATTTTGATGTGCTAAATAATTCTTCCAAAGTTACTAACG